TTGTGGACTTCAACTCCCAGAATTCCTCCTCCAGTTATGTTAGCTCAGGAATTCTGGGAATTGAAGTCCACAAGTCTTAAACTTGCCAAGTTTGAAGAGCCTTGTGCTAGATAGCTGGCGGTAGAGAAATATAAAAATAACCTTGGAGAAAATATGTGGTGAGCCTGGGAAAACAGGAAAGCATAATAAAGAAGCTTTGAGATTGCATTGCCTTGATTCTCTTTGGTATAAAAAAGAAGGAAACATAAACAGAAAAGGAGCCAGACTGGTCCAGTGGTAAAGAAATCAGGAGGTGGTGAATTTTAATCCTGCCTTAGCCAGGAAACCCAACTGGATGATCTTGGGTCATCCCACTCTCTCTCACAGCCCAACCCACCTCACAGGGTTATTGTTGTGGGGCAAAAGAGAAGGAGGAGGAAAGAGTATTTGGTCTTGAGTAAAATATTTGGCCCTGATGAAAATAATGAAGGGATATAAATAAATAGTCATGCTTTCAAGATTCTGTTATGAGGGTCTCTATTGGTGTTTCTCAAATTTTAAAGTGACTTGCAGACTTCAGCTCCCAGAATTCCCCAGCCACGCTTAAAATTGAGAAACACTGAGAGCAGAGCAGGGGGTCTCCAAACTTAGCAACTTTAAGACTTGCGGACTTCAACTCCCAGAATTTCTCAGTCAGTCATGCAGGCAAGTCATTTTAACAAAAATGATAAAACTGAAGAGGCAGGCTCCTTACATTTTCAACAAATCTGTTTATTGTTGCCTTCTTATTTTTTTTTGGTCTCCATTTCAGTTTTAGGTATTTAAAACGCAGGAGTTTTGGGTGGGAAAAATGTTCAAAACTAGTCTCCTAAAAAAAACAAAAAGCCAAGTCAAGAGAAAATAGGAAAGAAAATAAATCTTCAAGTACTCAGAGTATAAAGTAGAAAAACAGAAGCGTCCTTTTTATATATAAAGGGTAGTCCCCTCAACTTACAACCGCCATGGAGTCCAAAATTTCTGTTGTTAAGCAAGGCAGTGAAGTGAGTTTTGCTCCATATTACGACCTCTCTTGCACCGGTTGTTAAGTGAATCATTGCAGCTGTTAAGTTAATCAGGCTTCTCCATTTTCTCTGCTTGTCAGAAGGTCACAAAAGTTTATCATATGACCCCTGGGACGTTGCAATGGTCATAAATATGAGTCAGTTGCCAAACACTTGAATTTTGATCACATGACTATTGGGATGCTGAAATAGTCGTAAGTGTGAAAAATGGTCATAAGTCACTTTTTTTCAGCACCATTGTAGCTTTGAACAGTCACTGAATGAATCATTGTAAGATGGGAACTACCTGTACAGAAAAAGGAAACTTCTGGGGAAAGTGCAAGGCAAATTGAGCCTGTCTGCCTTATTCCTGGCTCCCTCCAAGATGGCTGCTTGCTATACCAATCTCCCCCTTCCAATATATACAATACAAAGGACTGTTTTTCTCTCCCCCGTCCCCATCTTGGACCAGATAACGAGGCAGCTGCTGTTAAAGGCATTTGATAGAATCCCTTCACAGCCCACCTGTTCAAATGACCTGTGTGTACCAGGCAAACATTTCCATTCTCTTAGGTCTTAAAAGCCATTAATTTCCACAGGTATTCTCCCAACCAGGTAAGGGAGACGCCCTCCCACCCATCTCTGGTCCACAAACTCCCTCAGTTTTAACTTTTAGCACCATATAAACAGAATATTTGGATGTGTTTCAAGTCATCTCTAGCCTTGCAGGTTCTCAGTTTTCTTTTCTTTCAGCTTTTCCAATTCTGAGGAGTCTTCTCCTGTAAGGTATGATTCAGGTAACCTCATTTCCCACCCCCACCCCCATTATTTGGTCCACTTGGACTTTGGGGAATGAGAAATGGAGGTTTTCCCCAAAAAGGGAGACTGCTAGGAAGACTGGTTAGTACACTCACAAAATGGCTGCCAGGTTGGGCGAGGCTGGTTTCCATTTTCCCAGAAGGCGAAATATGTGAAATGGCTTCCTGCCCTCCATTCCAGCTGTGCAGGATATTTTCCTTCATATTAATTTGCTTTCTTTACTGAGAAGTGGAGCAAATGTAATGAAGCACCCTGTTATGATTTATTTTCGGGGTGGGGGAGAGAGTAGTTTCTATTTTCTAAGATATAGAAAATATAGGTGTCCTATCCATATCTCTGTGAAGGAAAGCAACTTTTCAGATTTTAAATAATAACAAATGAAGAGGAAGTCTGCCAGTTTGCTTGAAAATATCATTTATATAATATTTCTGTTACAGTGTGACCATCTAGAAAGACATTTACCTACAGCTAAATTAAGCAATGTTCCCTTTAAATTCTCCATCTTGGTGTTGCTTTAAATAAGCAACACCAAGATGGAGAATTAGGATTACAGCTCACAAGAAGGATTCTGAAATTGGAATGAAAGTTCCTCCACCTTCAGAGTATTTAGCTACTCTATTGCCATTTCTCTGTTTGTTTATGTGGAAGAGTTATAAGCAAAATGTATACACAATTTACCTATTTCTCTGACTAGCTTGTTTGGCTCACCTAAAAAAAAAATAGAGTTAACCTTAAAACATGAAACTAAGAAGCTAAAACAGTAGCAAAGCATAGGATATTTATTATGTGTTTATTGATGCATTAGACTCATATCTCACTTTTCATTCAGTATTAAAGCCAGGATACAGTAGGGTAGTGCAATAGCAATAGACTTATATACCACAGTGCTTTACAGCCCTCTCTAAGCAGTTTATAGTCAGTATATTGCTCCCAGCAATCTGGGTCCTCATTTTACTGTCCTCAGAAGGAAGGAAGGCTGAGTCAACCTTGAGCCGGTCAGGATCAAACCTTGACAGTTGGCAGAGTTAGCCTGCAATATTGCATTCTAACCACTGCACCACCATGGCTCTTCAATGCTTCAAATTGGACTCTGAAAATGTTTTTGGGGGGTTGTGGGTTGTGTGGGATAGTACAAATAGCCCTCACTTAACAATGATACTTGGGACCAGAAATTCTGTCGCTTAAGCGGCTCAGTCATTAAGCGCAACTTCACATCCCTGTCCCCGTTGGCAATGGCAATTCCAGCAGTCTTGGTTGTCATCGTTAAGCGACTTTACACATAGTCATTAAGTGAGGACATCACATGACCACAATTTGCCACCTTCCATGCAGGTTTCCCTTTTGTTTGTAGGAAGCTGGCAAGGAAAGTTACAAATTTCTGCAGTCATACAGATAGTCCTTGATTTACAACCATTCATATTTAGTGACCAGTCATAGTTACAATGACACTAGAAAAAGTGACTTATGGCTGCTTTCTTCACACTTATGACCATTGCAGCATCCCTATGGGCATGTGATCAGAATTCAGGCGCTTGGCAACTGACTCATATTTATGACGGTTGCAGTGTCCTGGGGTCACATGATCTCCTTTTGTGACCGTCTGACCAGCAAAGTCAAAGTCACTTTAGAACTGTGTTACTAACTTAACAACTGCAGTGATTCACTTAACAACGGTGGCAAGGAAGGTGGTAAAATGGGGCAAAACTCACTTAATAACTATCTTGTTGCGCAGCAAAAAAAAATTGGCTCAATTGTGGTTGTAAATCGAGGAGCACCTCTAATTGATGGAAGTGCCCAAATCACAATCATGCTGTGGATGCTGCAACAGTCACAACTAAGAGGACTTATAAATCCTACTAGTTCAGCCCGGTTATAACTCTGGATGGTCACTAAACAAGTTTTGTTAAGTATGACGTTGTAGTTGTTTGCATCTCTTCAAAGCAGTTACTGGAGGCTGTTTTAAAATGTTTCACCCAGGTGCTTTCTTTCAATACCTATTAATTCTAGAATCTGATCTCAATAATCATATCTAGAGGATTTGGCTGGATATCCTGCATTAAAATATAAATTATTTTCCCCCTAAGGTGGTTGGTTGTCCATCCAAGGAAAATAAATGCAAGTCTAAATAGATAGAGCTCTGTTGAGAATGGGTCATGTAGTACAGTTGCTTTTAATAAAGGCAATTTCCCTGCTGGGGTTATTAAAAAATGGAATGGAAATTTAAATAGCCAAAGGGTTTTCATAGAAACTGGTGAGCTGCCCGCATTTGTCCAGTTCTTTAGAACCCTATTTTCCAAACTTGGCAACTTTAAGATGCGTAGACTTCAACTTCCAGAATTCTGGGAGTTGAAGTCCACATATCTTAAAGTTGTCAAGTGTGAAAAACATTGCTTTAGAAGCTGCTTTTATTTCAAACTAAAATGTTTTGCTCCTCCATAACCTCAGAGAACTAGCCTTATTAGTTTTAGTTTATTGTCATTGCACATTGTACAACGAAATCAAACACCATCTTTGGTGCATATCATGACCATGAAAATAAACACAAACACACACATCCTTCACCCTCCACACACTGAACTGAATTATATGAATTATAATTCTGAGACTGGGCTTTTGACTCACACCAGGCAGGTTCATTTCATTTTGTGTGAGTTTTATGCCGGGCAGGATCTGATTATAATCCCTACAGTTTTAAAACCAACTCTCCCCTTCAACGGTTTTGCCCATATTCCTTGCAATCCAAAGAACTGCATAGGCAGGTGACCAGGTGGGAGCCAAACACAATAAATTTAGAACCAGGAATTTTGGGAAGAAGCTGTCCTGGGAGGCACCTTGTGCATTTTGGACAGAATTGTGGCAAGGAGACTGCATTCTGCTTGCTGATAAAGGACTCCTGAAACAGGAGAGAGAGAGTTGGAGGAGAAAGAAAAAAAACCAGAACAGGTTAAGGCACTTCCTGAAATTAAAGTAAAATTGAGAAAGGGAGTTTCCCTCCTGATCTGTCTCCCTCCCTCCCTCCCCAGCCAAACATACACAAATCCAATCAGGTAGACTCAACTGGGCGTGGATTATGCTTCAGGTCCCACCTCTACCTTTCCTGCAGGCCCAATGGCCTCGCCTGTTGGGAAATTGACTCAGGTCATGTGCTTCCACCGAGGGGCAGGTAACTTAGGAAAAAGAGAGCGAGGAAAAAAAGATTCTTTTTTTAAAAAAAAAACCTAGGCTGGGTTCCTGCCATGATGTCAGAGGGAGACAAACGGACTGCCTGTTAAATTTTATCCCCCAGTTAGAGCTGGGGAGACAGAACTCACCTCAAATACAGGTACAACAGCAAACAGATTTTTCCCCCTTTTATTAAATGTTATTTGAACCTTAGCTACCTTCACCCTGTTCCCTTTACCCATAGTTCTGGCTTTTCTGAGATTGACCTTTTTATATCTTCCCTTTGATCACTTGGGGAATGGGGGTGCCCTTCATTTGTAAGTTTTTTGTGTTTGGCTTGTTTTATACTTTTTTCTCTTTCTCTCTTTCTCCTTTTTATTTAAATTTTGTTCTTTTTTTCTCTCTTCCTTCTCTCTTCCTTCTTTTTCTTTTTTTTTTTCCTCTCCTTTACCTCTGCTTTTGATTGTAGCTGTTCCCCCCCTTCTGTGGTCATGACGGCTTCTTCTTCGCACAGTGACTGTTTGGTGGTCTTGTTTGGGGCATCCGCTGGTGGAAATGGGGCTAAGCTGGGGTCCGATGAGAGGGAACTAATTCTGTTGGTGTGGCAAGTTGTGGATCTTCCCAGCAAGAAGGTATGACTTCCCAAACTCTTCGTACACCGTTGGGCAATTTGCAAAAAGAGAGGAAAAAGAAAAAAGAAAGAGAGGTGAAACTACTTAACTGAGATCCCTCTTCTCTCTCATTCAACCACCCGAGGGGGATTTCTATATCTGAGCAAACATATCCAGGGCTGGAATGAGCTTGGCTCACCTCCCCCAACTTGGCTTGAGGAGGGGTGGTGGGTTGGAAGAAAGCAGGGAGAAACTATTAAGTTTGGACTGGGACAATTCATTAAAAGCTCAGCTCAAAAATTTCCCTTGAAATTGAGCAGGAGAATCAAATCCAGATTACAAAAGAATGAAATCTTCCCACCTTCCCTAGTTCTGAGTCAATAGAAACATTTTCATGTTTAAGAGACTCTAAAAGGCGCTTCCTTCCTGTAAAAAGAAAACCCAAACGGCCCTTTTAACCATGTTTGGGATATTGGATATGTACCTTTTTGTGTTTCTGTGTTTGAAATAATCAGGCCTGCATGTTTGCTTGGGAAACCTGTCGCTTGATACGGGAATTAAACCGGAGTGGGAGGAAAACCTGTTTCGTGCAAACCCAGAAGAACTAGGTCCAATCCCTATGTTTACTTTCTTCCTCGCCCTCCCAATCCCCATTCCAAAGTGAATTTCAAACGAATAATTTGAAAAGAAAACAAGAGGCTCCCCGCCTCCAGGATCTCTAAATCGAGTCCATTCTGATGGGATCCACCTGAATTTTATTTCCCTCCCTTCCACTAGAATGATGCAAAAATTGCAGCTGGGTCTCTTAAAAATAACATCTACTTTTATGGGGAGGCTGCGAATCTCCTTGAAGGCAAAGCCAGGAGGGAAACCGAGATGGGAAGTTTGTGAAATTAGCAACTACATCTCCAGCCATCCCTTCCAATTTCAACGGAGCCAGCTGTGGTTCTAACCTCCTTTTTTAAATACACATTGTTCTTACAAGTCGCTCCATCGAGTTCCTAGAGTTGTAATTTTCTTTTTTTCCCCTTACCCCCTCCTCCTTCCCCCCTGCCCTCTTTGTTAAACATTTTCAGGTAGGGACCCTGCACAAATGCCTGGTGAAGGCAGACAATTTGGAGCTAAGTGAGCCGTGCCAAGAACTGACAGGGTTAACCCCCGAAAGCTTGGCCAAAGCGGAGCCTCTGGATCGCGTTCTCCAACAGGTGAGGGTTTAACTTGTTGAATGTAGGGGAGCAGGATTCCAAGTGGTGCAATCAAGCAAACAAGAAGCTTTCGCTTTGAAATTTTTTTGTCAAGTGACCCCTTGCCAAGTAAAGCGTGTTTATTCTGCAACCAAGGCTGGCTGGCACCATCTGCCACGTGTGCAGCCACATGGTTGGTGGCCTGTGAGTGGCTGAGTTTGCCTAAGCCGTTTGCTTTTATTTCTTTCGAAGCTCATCTTGGTACTTGCAGCCGATCGGAATGGCAGTTAAGCCAGGGTTTTGTGAAAGGAGCCAACCAAAGTTGATTCAGTAAAACGTGGTTAAATCCAACATTGGTGAATTTAGTTGTGTGGAATGATCACGGCTGATAGTGTTTCACTGACCAGCGATGAGTGTTGGAAGTTGGTAGAGTAAGAAGGTGCAACTGTGAAGACAATAGATAAATCATCTCACCATTATAAATTACTGGTTTACCACCCTGTAACCGGTCTTTCATCATCCTAGGGAGGTGTCTCTTTGGTGTCTCTCTGATATGTATCAGTTCTCTTTGTGTTACCTGTCAACCACACCTTTATGACTTGTCCAGAGAATCTCTTTTTGGTTTTTGTTTTTAAATCCTGACTTAGCATTATGTATGAATGTAAACCAGTGTATGAGCTATTTTAAAAATCTGGATGTCTCCTAAGTCCTTGCTGAGCATAATTATGACTGGACCTTTCGGTTGGCATGTTCGCATTGACCCATTTATGGACCCATATGGATTAATGTTGTACATAGTGATGAATCTGCATGTGTGAATTCACTTGGAGAGTTTTTAGATAAGTTGTGTGTTGCTGTTTGGTTTGGAAACTTTCGAGAATTTTAATAAAACTTCTGAAATGTGGAACAAAACTTTAGCATCCTCTACAGCAGAGGTCCAACCCCCTAGGGCCAGTACCGGTCCATGGCCTGTTAGGAACTGGGCCACATGGGCAATGGGTGGTCGAGCAAACTTCCATCTCCACACGTGCAGGAACTAGGTTCTATGCAAAACCAACCCCTTCCCTTCTGCCTATCCCGTCCCCAGTCCATGGAAGACAGTGGTTCTTCCAAACCAGTACCTAGTGCCAGGGAGGAGGGTGAGCGCTATTCTACAGTAAAGTTATACCAACTTTTTCTGGACCAAGAGCCCAGACCACAGCAAGATATCCCCCCCAAAAACACGAGGAGTGCTTAATTAAGTTCAACACATTTTGTTGATTTGACACATTCAACACATTTTGTTGATCAACACATGGTGTTGATTTGCTTTAATCTCTTTTTTAATGATACCAGTCTTTCAAGTAGGCCAGGTTAGGAAAGAGAGGCCATGTGGATACCCAGAATTTTACTCTTATTTACGGGGCATAGAGTTGCAGAATTTCAGAAGCCAAAACCCAAATTGAATCAAGGCCAAGGCTATTGTGAAATTCTTGTTCACGCCTCCCATTTTCCCAAGACTAAGCAGCCGTTTCACATCCCTTCAGCAGTCCTCAAGGTCGTCCCTGCGTTCCTTCACAAGTGATCTCCATCCTCCAATAACACTGAACATGAGAAATCAGATCGAAAGCCTTTGGAGACGGCATCTGTCCTGAGGATAATCATCCTATCTTTGGGGAAATTTTGGTCCCCCTGATGTGATAGATTTTGCTTTTTTGGGGTGGGTGGATGAGAAGATTCCTATTTCTGAACAACAATGGAGAAAGGAGGAAACATCCCATCCCATTGGATCCAAAATAGGAGGCCTCTTGTTTTCTACCTCAGATTGAGGTGGTCCTCGATTTAAGGACCACACCTGAGCCCAAAATGTCTGCTGATAAGCAAGACAGTTTTAAATGAATGCTGTCCTGTTTTACAACTTTTCTTGCCACATTAAGTGAACCTCTGCTGTTCTTAAGTTAGTAACATGGTTGTTAAGTGAATTTGGCTTCCCCATTGGCTTTGCTTGACAGAAGGTCACAAAAAGGGATCACATGACAGTGAAACCGTCATAAGTACATGCCAGTTGCCAAGCACTGATCACATGACTACAGGGAAGCTGCAATGGTTGTTAAGTGTGGAAAACAGTCACATGTCACTTTTTTCCAGTGCCGTTGTAACTTGTAACAGTCATTAAATCAATGGTTTTAGGTCAAGAACTTTCGGTATTCCTTGTTGATCAATAGCTGATTCCAGACATTGAAAGCAAATTCCAGGGCTTAAATCTGGCTTTGTAAATTCTGTGAGGCTTGGAAGAGTAATTGCACCCCCCTCAAAAAAATAATAATCCCAAATCTTGGAGTTGAGCATTGATTTCAAAATTCTCAATCAAATACTTCACCTATTTTGTGAAGGCAACTTACAATTGTCCAGTACTTTCTCAAAGAACTTTTGCTGAGATGTTTACTATCTTACCGAGAAGCTTCTGGGAGAAATTCGTTCTTTGGTATTTCTCATCAATGAAGAGAAGGTTGCTCCCCCCGCCCCCAAATAAATAAATAAATAAACAACCAAGACCCTCTGGCTACTTTGGGATTCAATAGATGCAAATCCCCTGCCTTCTATTCTTGTAGAATTTCTCTGAAATACTCTTCTACTTTGAAGTGGGGGGGGGGGGAGTCAAAAGCAAATTCTCTTTTGGTTAACTGAATGAAGACTGGTAGGAAAAATCCAAGATAATTGTTAAGTTGAGAAATGGGTATGTTTTCAAGATTGGGATCCTATTCTGCTGTTTTCCTGGAAATCTGACATGTTGGTTGCTATCTTGTGCTCCGAGCTTGTCTATAAAATTTGTTGGGTGCTCCTTCGCTGGCGGTTTTAAAGAAAAGATTGGACAGCCATTTGTTTGAAAGGGTATAGGGTCTCCCGATTGAGCAAAGGGGGGCAGACTAGAAGACCTCCAAGGTCCCTTCCAATTCTGTAATTCTGTATCTATTCTGTTTGAAATGTCTTCTTCCCATTCATGTTTCCAAACAGATGTTGGTAACCAAGGCCATCTCTGTGATAGTCCAGTGGTTAGGCTAACCTAATAACTTTTTGTCTTGGGGACTGGATAGCACCATTCAGAAGTGCTAGATGATATTTTCTCACAATCCCCCAAAAGCATAGTGGAGATGCTAATCTGGCCCTTAAAACAGGGTTCTGTCATCTGGCTTAGAAATCTCATGTTATGGTAAAGTTGGCTAGATGGTTATATGGTAGTCAATTGAATATGAGGGGCCCTTGGTGTCCTCTGAGCTTGGCTGTCTTCTTGCAGGTGTTTCATGATTCATACTAGGTAACGTCATCACTGCTATCAGGACTAGCACTGATGATGTTACCTAGTTGGGTAATGAAACATCTACAAGAAAACAACCAACCTCAAGGAGCACTGTGGACCCCTCATTTCAACCCTGAGCTGCAAGTATTCTCCTTTACTGTTAATTGAATATTCTTTTGTATGCTTTTCCACCATCTTGTTTTTAGTCACCTTTTAAAATTTAAATTGGTTGCTTTTAATGGTTTTAATGGATTGTTTTATTATACACGCGTATGAGATGGATAGCTGTACAAATCCAATTCAGTAAATCTTTCCCATGTCGGAGATCCCAGGTTCAAGAAGGCTGGCCTAGATTTTTAGGAAGTTGGATTGCACACTTGTTAGAATACCATGTCATTTGTCTGTTTTGGCTTTCATGCAATGTATGAACACATTCAGTACTTTTCTTTCTGGTGTCCTTGCAGGATAACATTGCTCTTTTCCTTTTTTTCTTTTTATGTTATTGATTTTCTATTAAATACATTTCTTAGTGCTTAATAAACATCGTGTTGTCTGGGTATTAAATTTGCTTAACAATACAGGTCACATTCTTAAACTCCACCCCTTTTTTTCCAACCACCGGTAAAATAAATTCCATGTTTGATAATATTCTCCATCCTCTTTCTGTTTAATTTTCAATGTCAGTCTATCCATTTCTGCACAATCTAGTATCTTCTTGACTATCTCTTCATCTCGCAGTATATCTTCATTTTTCCGGTACTTGCAGAAAAGATGATAGGGAAACATGTTGCTTTTATTTGGTATAATATCAGAAAAACTTGATAAGAAAAGTATGTATTTAATATTACAGGTTTTAACAGCAGTGAAGATTACTTTCGCGCAACGTTGATCTTTTTCTATGTGTTATTATAAACACGAGGAATAGCTAGCTTAGATTGGCTAACTTAGTTCAAATCACACGTGAATGTAAATATTTCCTAACCCTTTTTCTTCCTGTGTATTGTTCCAAGCTTGGAGTTGGAAACCGGAGGAAAAAATTGAAAGTAGATAAATGTAATTGCAAAGCTTTGCTGAATGTGGGTTGGGGTTTTGTTTTTGTTTTGGTATCTCCTTTTTGAATCATTGTGGGTGTGTTTGCTGAGGAGGTAAAACGGGTTACTAGGTTGCTGTTTCTTTGACAAGCATCTGCCTGAAAAATGGAGCTGAAACTGCCGTGTACTTGGTTTTTTTTCTTCTCCATGCTGAGCTGAATCCTTAATTATAGGAGAACAGAAGCCTCTGGAAGCTGGTGTATTTTTGAGCTGTGGGGGGGAGCAGAGCCATTAGATATGATATATTTCTATTCTTTCACTCTCCAGTTGGATAAACTTCACGAAAAACCAGTTAAGATTGCCAAGTGAGTTTTTAGTGGTTTGGAAATTATTCCAAAATGAGTATTCTGGCTGCAAGTTAGATCTTGCCCTGCTTCTTGCAACCAAAGACAGCTGAAGCAGCTTAAATACACTTTGCCGGTTTCTTCTGGTCTCCCCTCCCTCCCGGTCACACTTCTTAAGCAACTCACCATAATTACGTCTGATACTTTTATGAGACAGCACCCTGTTATATCCCCAGTTGCAACTTAAGTTTAGCCACCCTTAGCAGATTTGCCCACTGTCGCTTGCTGTACCGAGTCACGGACTGCTGTAATCGTGAATAATGGAAAAAGCCACAGTTGGCTGGGTACACAAATTAAATTAAGCTACGA